GTACAGTTGTGTAAAAAAATTAAAAAATACCATACTCCAATGAAAATTCAAAATAGAAAGTCCCTTATCAAATGGCAAAATCAAATGCTCAAACACATCAAAAGAATGGAAAACAACTGTCATATTCCTGACTTGGTACAGGCATTTCTTTATGAAGAAAATGGTGGATTAAACCTGTTTTTTTTTAGCTAGATAAACCTCTCACTTGTATGACAGTCGCATGTGTTTGTTTAATATTTTTTTTGACGGTGTTTCTTGACTTTGCTACGATTTTTGATTGTAGACAGATAGAAAATAGGGATCATTTTATTTTTACGTAATCAAAAACAATTTGAATATCAAACTTTAAGTGGTCAGGGTAACCATAAGCATAGTTGGAAGCAAACTTTCTCTTTTTCACAGACACCAAAGGCGTTTGTTCCTTACTCCATGGTGGAAAAACTTAAAGTGCTGCAAAAAAGTGATTCTGTTAGGTGTGAGCCAATGCTCCGTGTTGAAGGCCGTACCTTGACCTATAATGGTTTACTTTTATAAATTGTAACTTGGATGGAGAGTTGTCTCATTGGCACTCATATCACATCTTCCTATATCTATATGCAACTGTCGATAGTGAGAGCCACATAAAGTCTCTTTTCGAGACAATTAAATCTATATTAACCCCTTTATTAAATATGGCTAGGAACATGTCAAATTACAGAAAAGACGAACAAGACCATACAATTCAGGGAATATCCATATTAGAATATTGAATACACATTATCTCAACACCGATACTTAATAGACGAAATAATCAGCACTCAACCTTCAAGTACAGTTCTATTTATCGAATGTCCATACTTCTCAATTACAAGAGTGAATGAAAATGGAGACAAGTAAAAGAAGGTGATCAACCCTAATTTAACAAATCAAAATAGACACTTCCCAGCAATTCTGGTGAATGAAGTATTTCAAGACTACAGACAAGTACAATACCGTTTAACATAGACAAAAAGGTTTGCGAGCAAATCAATTACTGTAAAGAACATCTAATGCTAAATAATAGATTCTGTGCAACACCGAAGCTATGACAGGTCCTGGGTTTGCCAATTATGAACAGGTTATAAATTTGAATTAGGGGATTTCAATGTTTAATTCAACAAAGATGAAGCATACTGATCAAAATAGCATAGATACATACATATAAGAAAACACAGGGGTCAATACGAAACAGGGAAGCCTAATTCTGTAACCGACAAAATTTGGATAAGGAAGCTCTATTTAAAGAAGTATTAGGAATATAGTAGGTCTAATAGGGAAACCTATACGACCTCACCTAGAAAAGTAGAAAGGAAATATTATTGTTACAATCGTTTACTCTTTATTGAAGCCATAAAAACCATAAATAGCTCTGCAAACAACTCAACATGAACCGTAGTTTAGATAGGAATGCTCTGTCTAAAAAGAATTAATAGGAATATTGTAGGTCTGAGAAGGAAGCCCTATACAACCTGCTCTCGAGAATGAGAAAGCAAGAAATTCTTATAATGAACGAATACTTTTAATAAAAGCCCTAAAACCATAAATAGCTCTGTCATACATTTTAGCAAGAATCGCTGTTGCGAACACATATAAAGAAGCCGTATATAGCATATATGTAGTTGAAGTGAAAGTAAGAAAGAAAAATCGATCTTAAATACCACAGATGACTCGTAGACAGAGGATCCATGAGAATGTAGATTATGCCTTAAAATCTACAAAGACAATGATGCAAAACTCCCAGAATGCAAGCGATGCAAAGATCATTTTAAAACAAAAACAAATACAAAATATTACATTTTGGGTAACTCCGATACAATGTGGTTTTGCGCCCCATTAAGACATTTTGTGGAGGAACACATAAAATCAGGCCTAAAAATTTAGTAGATGTGAAGGGAAATTATGAAGAACTACGAACAAAGAATCAGAGACATTTAAATAGCAATTGACAAGAAATGCGACGTACACGAAGAAAGATAAATTGTCAGTGAAGAACTCACAAAATACAGCTGCAACACAGACAGGGTAAGAGAAATAGCAAAGTAGGTGCTACAGCACAAATAACAACAGATGAGTCTAGTGAAGGAACAGTGCCCCATAAAAAGGAAACAGTAACTACAGTTTAGAAAGAAACTAGACATTGAGATGGGAGCTATCTCTGTGGGCCCCGCTGTGGGTTTTCAACTTCCTGGGCAAAAGTTTTTGACCTTGAACTTTGACCTAGGAAGTTGTACAAACATTATGACACACCCTCTGGTGTTGGTAATTATACATGTCAAGTATAAAGTATGAAATTATAATGGTTCTCTAAATATAGAGCGGACACAATTTGTTACGGACGGACGGACGCACAGACTGGTCACTATAGGACGACCCGCCACTAGGCGGAGCCCTAATTAACGAAAGAAAAACAAGGGAAATTATATATGGCATAAATGAAAATGAGTCTGAGGTAGGCAGGAAAGATTTGACCATGATGTAGAAAACGGCTCAAATGTGAATAATTTTACAGTTCTTCTCAAGTCGAACTGTTTTTATACAAATGCAGATCAGCTATTCAATAAGTTGTCTGAGCTTATTGTCCGAACCTGAGATAGCAATCCAAACATTATTGGAATACCAAAAGTCAAGCCAAATGCAAATAGATATAGACCATCTCCAGAGGAATACTCATTACCAGCAGTAGGAAATTATTAAGTGTTCAAGAAATACCTAAATACAGATGAGGGAAGGGGCCTCTCGTTGTATGTAGATATTAACATATACATATATATATAATACTAACGATTATAATGATAGATTGGTAAAGTTATTGTTAGAGGCAATAAAAATGGGATTTTCACATAAACTATTTAGGGGAGATTCAATTATCTTGAAGTTGATTGGGATACCTGGAAAACACAAGGCGGAAAAACAGTTATAATGAAAATAGATTGTTAGTATCACTGCACTTTTTATATCAACATACAACCACACCGTTCTGACACCCCACATAGATTAGACTTATTAATCAGAAACAAGGAAGAAATGATATCCAACCTAGAATATATGAGCCCACTCGGAAAAAGTGACCATTTTCTTGGTCTTATCTTTTGACTTTGTTATGTAAATATAAATTGAAGACTAAGAATAGCAAAAGTGTATAAAGTGTTATAATTTAAAAAAGGAATCACTGCAATAGAAATTTTATTCGTGGGTTACCAATTTTCGTTGTTTTCGTGAATTGCTTTATCTACGATTTTAAGTGTCCAATGAAATAATACAACTGTTGACCAAATCAAGACATAGAAAGATCCCCATGTAGGTTTGACTACATGGATACATGCATATATTCTAGAGAATACATCGACTATCAGCAAGCGCACTATAAATACAACTTAAGGATTTTACCCATTTAATCTTTAAAAAACCTAAATTGTACGACTTATAGTCTTTTTGTTCTCATGACAAAATAGTTTGATCGATGAAAGTCCGATTTCTAGTATTGATCTGCGATGACGAAGTGTTCGTATATCTCATTTTGGACTTGCTTTCTTATTTCATAAGAATTAATTCTACAATTCAAAGTACATTTGTAGCGTTCCTTCATGTGACATGTTTATGGCCAAATTAACACCTTCGATGATCGTTTATCTGTTCCATCTTGGGTTAATTAGTGTCACCACTGCTGTTTACATGTGTGCAACAACTTAAATGTAACTTTGCAAATTCTTCAAACGAGACAATTCGTAAGCAAAGATGAATCAGCTTATTCCCAAAAGCAGCTATTTCATTTAAACATTTATGAATGTTGTTAGTAATGAAAGACGAATAAGAAAGTGAAAATGAACACCTTGTTTTGCAATGTCCCACAAATCATTATAAAACAAGATATGTCTTTGATTATTTTAAAGAATCTCCGTTTCAGAAAACTAAAATCCACGAATTTAAGAACCCAAGAACATTTAACTTTTGCTCAAGCCAAGAAAATTGATACCCACGAATGTAAGTACTTTCACAGTAAACAGCACCAGCTTTCAGAAATTTACAACTGTATTTTAGATTCACTTGAAAATAAAGAAATTAGCTGTTTTGTTTTCTGTGACTTTTCTAAAGCTTTCGATAAAAGTTTGGCATCAGGGGTTGTTACATAAAATGAAGTCATACGGTGTGGACGGAATTTTATTGCATTGGTTTAAAAGTTACTTGAACAACAGACAACAGCGAGTTGTTATTAAACAATCTTCGTCAGAGCTTTGCAATTTTTCAGCTGGTGTCACACAGGGTTCTGTTTTGGGACCTCTCTTATTCAATATCTATATTTATGATATTGCTAAAAATTTGATTTCTTTATATAGATTATTTGCAGATGACACATCTCTCAGCTGCTTTAGTCGTGACATGTCACAAATAAAATCAGTGATTCGTCACGACCTGAGTGAGCTGAGCGATTGGTCTAAGAAATGGCTAATGTCCGTTTACCAAGAATAACAGAGATTATGTTGTTTTCTTACATTGAAACTGCAGAAATGAATTTCATGTTCAATGATAAGAATATTCAAGATACAGATTTTCATAACATTTGGGGTTACATTTAGTAGAGATGCTAAATGGGACACTCATGTGCAAAGTATCATAAAAAATGTATCGAAACATTTGAATGTATTTGGAAAATTAAAAGTACATATTAAGAAGGAATCACTTAGAACAGACTTTTATAAGACCGTTACTCGAATATGCCTGTGAAGTTTGGGATAATATGGGTGTGGGTTATTGTAACAAATAAGACCAGCTTCAGTTGAGGCAGCCTGAATTTAAACAGGTCTTCCTATTTTTTTTTTTATAGTTGTAGAATTATTTATGATGAAATTGGTTGAGAAACTCTAGTTGAACGAAGAGAAAGGAGGAAGTTACAATTAGTTTATAATATTCAACATAATAATGCACCAGCCTATCTTTGCAATTTAAACCAACAATCCAAAGTACAGCTGTTTACCCCTTACATAATGGAAATGATGTAATATACCCTTTTTGTAGACTCTCATTGACCCCAGTATCCTTTATACCTTCAACTATACGACTGTGGAATAACTTTAATGTGGTAACACGCAACATTGACTCTTTGGGTAAATTCAAAACCGAATTAAAAAATATTAAAATGAATTCAAAAGCCCAAGTACCTAAACATTATGAATTTGGAAATCGTAAACTCAACATCATTTTGACTCAACTTAAATGCTCAGCTTTTTTTTTTAAATGTGATCTTAACAGAGTCAATATCATTTCAGATCCGTCTTGTCGCTGTGGTGCGAAGCGTGAAGATTCATAACACTTCCTTTTTGAATGTCCTAATTATTCTTATATAAAAATCAAACTATATCTAATAATCTGAAATAGTCACAGGCACATGTTTCTATCCATGGGAAGGTCGACTACCCATATGTAATAGAAGAAGATGGCTAACGAGGGTCGCGCGTCTCCGCTTCGGACGCTATTTGTACCGTAATGAAAAATAATCCCAACCTTATATGAATCGTTAGTGTTCCTCTTCATACCAATCTTACTATTGTTCACTAATCCGTTGTGATTCTTGAACTACCAACTTTTCAATGTTATTACTTCCGGTTGACTTGGCAGTATATATTACGGTCGTATTTGATTGGTCAGCTATAATTACCTGCAAAGTAAAAACGAAAGTTATATTGAAAGTAAAAGCATGGTTTTGACACAAGTTCGACGTGTTATCTTAGAGAAGGCGCTTAAGGATGTTTGCTCCTCTTGTTTTTGAATTTCTGCCAGATTTTCGGAATCCTCTGGTTTTATCCATGTATTTCCATTAAAAAAAATTTGCCCACTAACCCCTACTTTTCTTTTCATAATTTAATTACATATAGATTAAAAAGCCATATTTGAAAATCTTATAAAATCCTTGTTATTTTTTCATAGTTTTTGAAACAAAAAGCGGTCAATGTTAAAAGTATGAAAAATCTAGAGAGAATCATTTCCCGCCAAATTTTCAATGGCTTTTATCTCGAAAACAAGCACACGGACCGCTCATTTTTTTCTGCTTTTTTAGTTCCTTTATCTATATACTATCATTTGATAACAGTCTTTTAAAAAGCTTGTTATTTTGAAACAGAGTAGCGAACATCCTTAAAGGCCATGCTATGGTTGTTTTAGGACAAAGTGGTACCGGTAAAAGCTTTCTGGTAAAAGAAACAGCAATAGAACCAAGAAAAAATGGTTAATTAGTCCAAATCACGGCAACAACAGGCATAGCATTCGTCAATACTGGGGACAAGACTGTTCACTCTTGGTCTGGAATTATTGACGGTCATTTTTCTAATGAAAGCTTACTGAAAAAATTAGAAAGAAATGAACATTTTAGTGTGTATAAAACCAATATAACAAGTACCCAATGTCTTATTATTGATAAGATTTCAATGCTTTCTAGGAAGTTGTTTGAACAGTTAGAGTTTGTATGTCGGAATATACCGAATAGTTCTTTGATTTTTGGTGGAAAGCAAGTAATAGTGGTTGTGGATTTCTTCCAGTTGCCACCTGTTCCAGATTATTTGAAAATGGACTCTGGAGAATACTGTTTTACGTCTCCTGTTTTTGAAAGAAATATTTTGTCATAAATTTATTTTTAATGAGGTTATGTGCTAATATCAGGATGCGTTTATGAAGACAATTAATGATGTTTCTAGAGGTGACCTACCAGAAAAACATTCTTCACTTAATAAAGCGGTTGAGTCGTCATTTACCACCAGGTGAAGATCCAATTAGACTTTGTGCTAGTAACCTGACTGTTATATTTATAATGCTTGCAAACTGATGGATATGGATGGAGAAGAGTTTGATTTCAGTGCAGTTGATGAAGGAGATGTTTCAAAACTGGAAAGAACCCGTGTCCCACAACATTTACATATTAAGTTAGGCTATCCAGTCATGTTACTTAAAATTTTGAGTGAATATTTTGTAAATGGTCTCCGGGGTATTGTTACTTCAGCATTAAAAGAAAGTATAACTTAATTTCAGACATGAATTCAAAAATTTCACAAATACAAATAAAGCAGGAAACATTCACTGTTTTCAGTTACATTGACAGTAAAGTAATAGCTTCTAGAAGACAGTTTCATTCATACCTTGCGTTTACCATTACTATACACAAAGCACAAGGACTTACTTTAGACAGAGTTGAGGTAGATGCCAAATACATTTTTACACCAGGACAACTTAGTTTTAGGTATTTTTGTCATACAGCTCTTCAACTGTTTCGGTACTTACACATCCCTCGGATTTCAAATGTTTGGCATTGAGCGTTCCTGATGCAGGTAAATCCAGAAAAGCGCTTCGGACGCTGACATGATTTATAACAAACTTTTCTAAAATTGTCTGTTTATAAATTTTGAAATTATAAAAAAAAACTAAGGTTTCAACTCCATCAGGCAAAGTTGACCTTAGATGAATTTGGCTATTTGTTTTAGGTATTTTTGTCATATAGCTCTTCAACTGTTTCGGTACTTACGCATCCCTCGTATTTCAAATGTTTTGCATTGAGCGTTCCTGATGAAGGTAAATCCAGAAAAGCGCTTCGGACGCATGAAATTATTAAACGTGTTGTTTTCAATTTTTTACATCACTGGGTCGATACCTCTGCTGGTGGACTATCAGTCCCCGAGGGTATCATCAGATCAGTAGTCAGTACTTCGGTACTGACATGATTTATAACAAACTTTTCTAAAATTGTCCGTTTATAAATTTTGAAATTATAAAGAAACTAATGTTTCAACTCCATCAGGCAAAGTTGACCTTAGATGAATTTGGCTATTTGTTTTAGGTATTTTTGTCATGTAGCTCTTCAACTTTTTCGGTACTTACACATCCCTCGGATTTCAAATGTTTGGCATTGAGCGTTCCTGATGAAGGTAAATCCAGAAAAGCGCTCCGGACACATGAAATTATTAAACATGTTGTTTTCAATTTTTTAGTGTAGCTATTAGTAGAGCAAGAGAAAAAAAAATCTCCGTTTAAGTGGTTTCAATGAATCGTCCATCATGAGACATGACCCCAGTTTATATAAATATTATGACCATACACAAACTATGTTTGATGACACTGATTTTTCATGCTTTAAACAACATTTCAATACTATAAATAATATTCCTTGCAGATCAGTAATTGAACCTTTACCAGAAGAATTATCTGACTTCAGTAATGCAAAAATAGATTAAATGGGCTTTTTATTGTCAAATGAACATGATGAACTAGATGAAACTGAAAGTATTTTGGTTGAGGAAAAAATTATTGACATGTCTGAAATAACAGATCTTTTCTCAAGAGAAACAAACGCACCATTAGAACAGTCTGTATGTGCATATTACAAAGAACTACTTAAAAGAATTGACATTGAACATTTTGTAAGCAGGTTGTACTCTGTAATAAATGACCTTTTTACGAAAACATGTGGTGATGTAACCCAGAAATCAACCGAACCTAAAACTTGGACAAAATATTATACAGAACTTTATAAGTTTTCTACTTCAAAAGAATATATTTCACTTGTTAAACTAATTTGAGCCTACTGGACAGGACTTTGAAATGTGCAGTAACATTTATTACAAATTTACATATGTTGTATTACAAAAGCATACAGAGCATTTAGTCAGTTGCCAGTTACAATAAAAAACATATTATGTCAGATTCTTGAAAGGGCAAACTGACATATATATTTGAACGTTGTATTGAAAAAAGTAGATTTCATTACATTAAACATGCTAAAACTAATATGTACACCCAAAAAAACCGCGAATCTCTTGCAAAGTCATTTATGAAAGTAAAAATGTTGGACTCTCTTACTAAGAGCTATACTGAATTGGTGCATGATTCTAAATACAAAGAAACACTTTTTGAGACACAATGAAAGCAAAGCCTATCACAAGGATTAACAAACATTACTGATGCAACATTTGAATTCATAACTAAAGTTGATGAAAAGAGACTTTCAGTTCAGCAGGAAAAATTATTTGTATGGTTCTGACTTTTTGAGTCATTGTCCCAATGTCCTTTTTAAGGATACAAATCTGTTTAATATTTGGAGAAATTTATTTCAAACTTTTGATTATTCTACTAATTATTTACGTGTTGTAAATGAAACAGCAGAACTGTGTCTACATGAACTGTATAAAGATGTTGTCCAGAGATTCTGTAGGATTGCAGACAATCAGTTCAGAAAAGATTTTCTGAAGAAAGTTGGTAAATCTAAATCTGAGAGTCTGAGGAAAAGAGTTGATAGTAAAGCAGTGGCTCTTTCAATCCTTAACATGAAGAACATATATAATGACAAATCAGATTCCAAACAAAGTTCTCACTTTAAATTAAAATCTGCTATATTTGACCAGGGAAATTCTGCTTTTGTCAGCATTGTAAAAAATAATTTACTTAAACTATGTAAAGGATATGAAATTAAAATGTCCTCTACCAGTTCAAATGCTGTCATAAAACAAAAACTCTGTTCTAAAATACCTTCTTTAGAAGGAGTTAGTTACCCACAATAACTACAGCAAACTGTTTCTGATATTACAACCTTCTATACGTCTACTGAATCTACTCCGGCAACTTCTAGTGAATCTACCCCGTCAACTTCTGCTAAATCTTCACCGTCAACTTCTATTGGAAATTCATCTGAAACACAACTAGGGCGACGAAAACTCAAATCAAAATTTACTACAAAGTCGAAACGAAAATCTTCAAAAACAGAAAATCAAGAGGAAAAGGAGCCTGTATGTCCATTATGCAAATCAATTTATATAAATGGGGACTGGATTGCTTGTGATTTGTATGATCGAACATGTTTAAAACTTAATCATGACCAATGGCATGAATTATAAGGAAGTCAATGGTATTGTTCTGAATGTCTGAAATAATTATACTATTCATCATACATTAAACAAACATATATTGATATGGAAACAAAGTATTAACATAAATTTTTAACTATATCAACCAACAGAACGAATGAAAAACAACTGCATAATAACATTAACGGTACCAATTTTACTGCTCCAGACGCGCATTTCGACAATTAATGTCTCTTCAGTGATGCTCAATGCCAAAATATTTGAAATATCTTTGTAATATGCACATACAGATCCACTTATTCAAAAATTGAAGAGTGACAGTGAGCAGGAGGCATGGAATGTCAAAGCCACACACTGTTAGGATCAATCTTGTTTCAAATGTAGACTATATCAACCAACAGAATAAATGGACAACAACTGTCATAAGTGACATTGAGCAGGAGGCATTGAATGTCCAAGCCACACTGTTAGGATCAATCTTTTTGGACTGTTTCATTGAGACAATTAGCAGGAAAAAACAACTACCTTGTCCGTGTATATGTTGAGTTAAGGAATTCCGTTTGTGTAAAGACAGTCTGTATATGTATGTACAGTTTGAATCGATAGAGGTTGCTCTTGTTCAACATAACAGACCCAAAAAAATGGAATTGGTATGGTACTCATATGACATGTATGGTAGAGGTCCAGATGCAGATAAAAGGACAAGTGTATGAGGTAAATACATATATAGTTAAACAATAATAGATTAGTTATCAAACTGGCAAAAAAAATTGCTTCGTGTTATAATTGTTCGACACAGAGAAACATGGCTCAATCATCATAACAATATAAAAATAAGAAGATGTGGTATAATTGCCAATGTGACAACACTCCACCAGAGACCAAACGACATAGAAGTTAACAACTATAGGTCACCATATCCCTTCAACAATGAGCAAAACCCATAGTCTACATATATTATATGCAGATAGCTTACCCTACCCACCGTTTCCCCTTTTTTGTCTGGAATCAATCCAGTGGCTCCTAGGTGTCTATTATCACTCATCAGGTTCACAGTAGCCAATTACACAACTGATTTTACATGTGAGACAACTTTAAATAACAGCATACCTTAACAATGACAGTATTTGCTATTTCAAGTCTAATGGTATATGTTTATTAAAATTTTTAAAGGGACTACACAAAAAACATTGAACCAAAGTTTGGTTCCAATAAGCCAAGTGGTTTCAGAAGAGGATTTTTTAAAATGTTTTTGACAATGACAAACACCAATTGATGGCTATAGCTCACATAGGCCTTGGGTCCATGTGAACTGTAAATAGTAATTTTTACTAGAGTATACTTATACTTTTTTTATTGGTGGTCCAAAGGCTAGTGGGTTTGCTGTAGTCCTCCAACGTTTAACTTCTTTGAAGTAGTTGTCTAAAAAATTATATAAATTCCTTAGAATGTAACTTTAACACGCTAATCAGTGTTATAAAAATAGTTGTTACATTTTATATATTCACGCAACATTTCGCTAAACAAATTAGTTTCATCAGCCGCGTGCAGCCATCAAGGGCGAGTTTATTTATCTACTCTGATTATTCTAGTGCCTATGCGCGCGCAATGTTTTACGTGAACGGAAAACTTGGTACAAGAGTAACTCTGAACATGGAGGACGAAATTGACAAAACTTGCAATGTTTCATGTTCATATGGAATATGAAGGGCATTGACAATCTAGCAATGACTAGACAGACGCAACTGAATAATTTAGCTATTACCATAGCATCATTGCTCCGTAGACCCCATGTTCCACGGATTACATGCTACGGAGAAACAGTTATTCCAACATTTGTCCCTGTTGACTTTCAATCTCATTGTAGGATCAGCGCAGAAACATTCAAACAAATATTAGATGTTGCAAAAAACGATCTCGTATCAGATATTGAGAAAGGGAAAGAGCCCATTGCACCAGACAAAAAACTTCTTATATAACTCCAATCCATCTCCCTGTTCCCCGCCCTTTATCAGGAGGTGAATCCAACATCTAAGAGTAAAACAGTGATTCCATAGCATTACATAATGTGTGTAAAGTTTCATTCAAGTAATACTGAAAAAATTTGCAACGCGAATACATAGGTGACAGGGGTCATGAAACTGTTACAGAAACATACCGTCTCATTTTTGATAAAAAAAAATCACCTGATATAATAATAGATTTTATCCAAAACAGTATTTCTAATGCACTGGGCAAAACAAAAAATTTGTGTTTATCATCTTGTGCAGTTATATAGTAATATAAACAAATATTTATATAAATACTTTTTACATGATCAGATGATAGTGGAAATACGTGATCAGGGACGTACATGTCTCTTGCATGATGAAGTTAAAAATAACAAATATGCCACATCGCACGTATTTTTTTTTTATCAAGTAAAATCGATAATCTGCAAAGATATTTTTAAACATACTGTGCAGATTTTAACAACTGCATCTTGCATGTTTTCTTTTTCAGACGCCATTTTGGAACTCGAGGAATCGTGGTCCAGTGGTGGGTTGAAGAGAGTAAGTCGATGACACACTCGAGTGCGTACTCTATGCGTACTCTACGAGTTTAATTTTCACTCGAGTTACTCCACCACTTACCCTAGTAGATAAATAAACTCGCCCCAAGGTAAAATCGGATGCGTTTTTGAAGATTATCGTACATGTTCTTTAAATATATTTTGCAGCTTATTGTACATTGCATTTAATAAATAAACACAAATAATTGGGTAAGTTTAATAGTATGAAGTTCAAGATTTATTCTTTGGGTTTTTAATAAAATTGTGTTTCATCTCTCTCATTCAGTCCATTAGGTTCAAGAGTACGTATCTGCATCCAAAATCTCTCATTGTTTCTACTTTTGGTGTCCCAATTTTGGATGACCTCTATTATTTGAAAGGTGATATTTTCAAAAGTATATCCTGTTCTTAAGAGGTGTCTTGTGATGGGGCAGTTCCACCTTTGGTATATAATGACTGGTGATTATTAGGTCTGTTGTTGAATTAAGTTTCTCTTTCGCCAACATATTGCAGCTTGCAAGTTCCACAAGTAAGAATATAAATACTTTTTTCCATTTTACAGTTAGATGTTACATGTTATATAGATGTTGTA